CAAGCGACTATGTGCAGTTTCCTGCTTGTCTCTCTAAACATGGACGCCATTCTAGGCCAGATGACAATTCGGTAGAGAAGGAGGAAGCTGGACGAAATGGCAAAGGGCAATGGACTGAGCGATGCCTACACTGCAACACTCACTCGACTGAAGGCGCAGAAGGGGGAAAAGTGCTTACTCGGAATGAAAGTTCTGATGTGGGTGTTGCACTCGGAACGACCATTACAGGCCGAAGAGCTCCGTCATGCATTGGGTGTAGAGCCAGGATCTGAAGACCAAGATGTAGAAAATGTTCCTGCGTTACGGACACTTGTAGCATCTTCCCTGGGCCTAGTCACAATCGAGGCATCTTCATCCACTGTCCGACTTGTGCACTTCACGCTACAAGAGTACCTCTTGAGCGATCCTACACTATTCCCTAGTCCGCACTCGACAATCGCGGAGGTTTGCTTGACATACCTCAACTTCGGAAGTGTCCGCACTCTATCGCCAACTCTTGAATCAGCCCCGACAACAATGCCCCTTCTAGAATATGCCTCTTGTTATTGGGGGAGGCACTTAGTACGGGGGGTGACGGACAATGCGAAAATACTTGCACTTAGGCTCCTTGATAGATTTGATGAGCATATATCTGCTCAGCTATTGCTTCTACGCACTAATCAAGATAGGCACCATTCCCCATATTTCAACGGGGAGGGAGGACCTGTGGGATTTACCGGACTACACGGAGGAGCATTTCTAGGTATTGTGGATGTAATTGTTTCGGTATTGGAGATGAAGGAGTGGAATGTTAATGCACCTGATGGCATGGGTATCACTGCTCTCATATGGGCGGCCAGGAACGGGCATGAAGGGGTGGTAAAGATACTTCTGCAGCGAGAGGGAGTCAATCCCGACCAGGCGGACACCCATTATGGCCGAACGCCACTCTCGTTGGCGGCTGAGTACGGGCATGAGGGGGTAGTAAAGATACTTTTGCATCGAGAGGGAGTCAATCCCAACCAAGCAGACACCGAATATGGCCGAACGCCACTCTCGTGGGCGGCTGAGAAAGGGCGTGAGAGGGTGGTAAAGATTCTTTTAGAACGGATGGATGTCCTTACCACTATTCCTGATAACAAGGGCCAAACACCACTGTCATTGGCTCTCGCCAACCGACATGGTGGTATTGTAAAGATGTTACAGGGACAGGACACTCTCAATTCCGACCTCCCAGATCTCGCCCCCCAGCCATCCCTCCCGCTGCCCACTGAGCATTGGGACGAGTGCGTGGCGGCGAAAGTTGAAGCTCCCGATCCCGGCATCCTTAGCCCCGCTTGCCCCCTTGCACCCGCATCCGCACACCCTGCTGGGCCAGAACTAGTACTAGGTCTCGATCACACTCTTTCCAACTCCGCGGCTAGCGATCCGAACTCACCCGAACCGTCCATGCTCCCTCAACTCTCGAAGCTGTCACATTCTCCTATTCGAATAGGCTCTCCTCCTAACCGCACCCGGTCAACCCTCCCAATTCAGTCCGAGCTCTATTTGCTCATCGCCTTTCTCATTTCTCTCTTGGCTCTCTTCATTTACCTCCTTCCTTCTTTCCTTCCAGCCATATTCTAAGGCAACAAATAATTATCAATCGTGCGATCGTTACCGTCAAGACTTCTATAAGTTTAGTTATACATAACTTTAATATGTATGTGTAGTTCCAGCTATCGATTTATCATGTATATCTTTTATTCCCCCCCTTCATCCCTATTCCCTTACCCGGAATATCTAGTTAGACTTTGCCCTGTAATTCCTTCTTATTCTTCCTTGCCATTATTCCTTAATATTCATTCAGTATTTTCTAGATAGAGCCATACATAACGGCCCCTTATACTCAATCGTGTATACATAGACAACAACCTTAATTATTCCAGCCCTATTCTATATTCGTAATGCTCTAACTCACCTTCTTCCTGTAATATCCGTCAACGCTGCCAAGTCACCAGCATTAATTCCCTGCACAAACAGTCGACTGCACAATACTCGGGCATTTCTGAGGGCTCCGGGCTATACATCAAGATGGGCCTCTATCTGTGCATAAACCCCTCACCCCAGAATCCTGACTATGTTTGCTTATCCCAGCGGATCGGTGAAAGGTTAGATGGTGTCATACCTGTTGTTATGAGACGTGGGAGTTGGATACATAGGAAGAGAGTTTTGAGGAAAGAATAAAGATTCAGAGATGATTGGTATGAATTGCTCGCCTACTCTTCTGTCTACGGATAATTAGTAGCTTATATAGAACAATCAGTCTCCTATCCACTAGCACAAGATCTTCCAAAGTTGCCCAGTCCTTCTCCGAGGTTCGTGGTTATTCCAGGTAAACTGCTCCAAGGTATAGCCGAATGTCCGAGCATGGCCAAAGACCTCCGAAGACTACCGACTAGTATCCAACTCTCCTGAACCTCCTTTCCGTTGCATCTCTGAAACCTAACATACAATAAAATGAAAAACAAGCTAGCAGGGAAAATCTCTGCTAGTGTGAAACTTCTATACCATTTATCAAAAGACCAATACCAAATCATGTGAGTACCGGTGATTTTCAACAATACCGAGTGCGCTCGGAGGTAAGATGTCGATAATTGCCCCGACACCCATGAGAGTATGGTACAGTCGTACCCTGCTATCCCGAATCCCGCTGAACCGGATACCCTGCTGAACCGGACGGAATCTTTTGCTCCTCCAATTCCTCACAGATATAACTCTGTTGAACCAGCAAAGGGTGTTTTCGGATTCATATAAAATTTTGGGGAGTCCTGCCTCCTGTTACTAAAGGAAATTAACCTGCTAGGCTGGATGCTATAATTAGGGTTAGAAAAGCTAGGCCAAAAGGGGAGAAATGAATGGGCCAAATATAAAGAAAGTGGGAAAGCAAGATGGGAAAGGGGTATTGCGGGCTCATAGTTGAAGCGGGACATGGAGGAAGAGTACTCGAGTACAATACTTTGGATCCCGACTACCGATACTCAAATCATAGTACTTGGGGTAATGTACTCGAGTAGGATAGCAAAAAAGCATGCTACATGGTAGCCTATATGGCATAATAGCTGCCAGCTTGACTGCCAATTGTGATAATACTGCCCATGAATAATAATCAAGATAAAGTCTCCTATAAGAATAGGATCAATTTATCCAAATCGAGATTTATTCCTCTTCAAATAACATGAACCCCTCTCCCCGTTGTTCCGGATACCTCGTTGTCCCCGATGAAATCTACACAATTTGGCCGTCCGGGATAGCGGGGTGTGACTGTAGTCAAATTCTGTGGCTTCGGTGGTAGCGCGAGAGATCGCTAGGGGCGCTGGTCCGGAAGCGGTGGAATAAGTGGAGGAAGAAGAAGCATGGTGGGGAATGCTGGGTTGAGGCGCCATTGCTGTAGTTTCTAAAATAGGCACGGGGATAGGTCCCATTGGTACAGTGCAGTCACACCCCGCTATCCCGGATAGCCAGATTTCACACATTTTGTTCAGGGCAACGGGGTACCGGAACACCAGGGTGGGGGGGAGAACACCTGAGAGTGAGCACTATCTGAAGGAAAACATGTATATCCTCGTAGAACACCTTTTCATCGGACACAGGACCGGAATCCAGTTGTGCCAGCGCTATTCCACCTGCTGAGGAGATAGTGCTTGTGCAAGGGTTGTCGGAGTACGGTTTGAGGGGGGACGAGCTGACCCCAAGGTGTATTTCCCGAGTCATTTCTTCTAATTCGTTGCCACCCAACCCCTCCACTCCCGTGTCCGCGAAGTCAAAGGAGTGCTTTAGGTGCCTGCCGCAGGTGCGGGTTTCAGCAGATACTTGGAGCGCTCGGTGGAGGACGTGTAGTAGTTTACAAAGCGTACGTGGAATGTTTTACTGCCCAGGGCTTGATTGCCAGTTTCGGGTTTTCGGATGGCGTTGTAGCTGTTTTTCAGCCCTGCGCGATCGGCAGGGCGGCGACTATTGCAATCGGTTGAGGGCATGTTTGGATATATACGACCATTCCGCTCCGTTCCCCCATACAAAAGAAAATTACTTTCCATTCTGAAGATCCCAAGAAAACCATTTCTCCAGGTAAAATCATCGCTGAACGGAACGATCGACCTGCCTCCCGTTCCCGCCAAACAGGCCCTGAATGATTCCGATATAGAGGGCGGCTAGACTAGAAAACAAACCCTAACTGAAGCTACGACATGAAGTACTACCGCATCGCGGAGGTAATATGAGAATGGTCTATATCGATAAATTTCAGCGCCGAATCCCAAGTTCCCTCTATACCCTCTTTAGCATTCACGCCCCCCGATAAGAATATTGTGATTAAAACATATAATACCCGGCTTACTTTGCACAACCGCGAAACTCCGCTGTGGTCTCTTCTGAAAAAACCCACCCACGCTGCCGCTAGAATGTACTGTACCGCTAATAACAGAGCCACCGTCGAATTTACCCCTCTGCACACCCCCTCACCCTCGTGCGACCCACACTCCTCGAAAGGACCCTTCCCCTGCGACCGAAACAGACTCCGCAACCCAGTGGATATAATCCCCGGATGCATCGCCAAAAATGGTGAATCGAGCTTGACAACCTCCAATATCCTATGCCTGAATCCCCGCACTCACCACTCAGAAACGCCACCTCTACCAGAATCCGGCCATGGAATGATATCACATCCATTATGTGGTCTCAAAATTCGGACACACTTCTGTGTGGGTGCCCCAGCCCAAATCTTCCAAAACGACTGACAAAACAAGTTGTGAAGGTGGGTAGGAAAGATCCACAATCTCGTTCCGTCCCCCCCATGAAGCCATAAATGTAGACCCTGAGGAGCTTCCGCTCCCCGCTAGGGAGAGAGCCTGGAACAGATCCGGAGGCCACGAAGGCATGCATAGCCGGATTGTAAGTCCCCTTGCGAGTAGAAGTAAGCGAGAAAATCTGGGGCTGCTGGTGATAGAGAGTAACTTGCCGTTGGAAATCTCGGAGCAAACAGTTCCCATGGAGGCAGTGGAGGAGGTATCATACACCTAGCCCTCGCACCTCTGCCATGTATTATTCTTGCCGTCCATGCTTGTTTCATGTTCGTCCGTTGTTTTGTCTTCTCTACTATACTTTGGCAAGTCAAGCGATGCCGAGTCATGAGGCTACACGGCAATTGTGGATGGTGGGCTGTGTCTTGGAATTACAAGGATGGTGTACGGTACTCGAGTATCGCAGGCTGGCGCTCATAGCATCTTTACTCGCGTGCTCGAGTACAGTACTGCAGCCGTATCACAACACCCCATCGGTGAGTTACGTTAGGCAAGAACCATCTCTGGTTCACTAGGGTACCGGCACCAGTATCCGAGTATTGTGCTCGAGTTCTAGTCCTAACCTGTTCATTTGGTATGCGCACAGTCCATAACCCTAACCCATCCATCTCGTAATACGGTAAACACTGTATTCTAATGCTCTACGGTAAGGAAAGTGAAAACTGCTAAATAATTGCTTATCGGTTATTAAGAGTACATGAGGGGGTAATTGAGCAGCAGAGATTTTTTTTTTTTTTTCTAAAGAGGGCAGTTGCTTTTTTCTCGGGGTACTGGAGGGTTAGGGGCATAAACTGTGGACATTGCAAACGAACCAGCGCGGAGAGTATAGCACGAGAATCCAGCATGGGCAAAGCAATCGCTTTTCGGAAATCATCAGAGTGTAAACCTCCTCCTTGTCCTGTAGCCTCACGCGCCATGGCTGTTTACTTAACGCTATCATACTCGTGTCTCCGAGCCAAGAATGGGCACCTCTTTTGGAATAGCCTCCCCAGATCCATTTATGGTAAAGTCTTGATGCTGCTTTCAGAAGAGGTTAAGACACCACCGAGTAGTGGAAATAAATACTGTGAATTCACCAATCTCCCCTCCCCCTGTCCCCCCTCTCCCAGTAGTGAACTGCCCTATTAGGCATTGAACCTGTTATCACCTCCACAGGCTCGGACTTGTGGAGAGCAATAATGGCACCACGCGTAGCCATGGTAAGGCTCTTTCCCTTCATCATAGTACTGTTCATAGCATCAATTTCCGAATTTGGCGCAATTGAGTGAAAGCACTTTGGATGAGAACCGGTCTTGTTTATGGAATTTTGAGAACTTTCAGGGTAGTTTTATCATACATTGATATTCCCCCACCCAGTTACTGGCATCTTGCGTCACTCTCGCTGTCTTTCAAATAGCATGAACACTTTACTACTTTTGGGAGCATATAGCCTATTCCCAATCAGGTGCCCATTCTTGGCTCGGAGACACGAGTACAGCGGCCCGACCGATAAAATCTCTAGTACTACTGGGCGGCTGATTACTTGAATTCACCGCGGGCTAACTATCCTTCGACCGGCTTTTGCCCAACTGCGAATTACCCATCACACATCCTGCCGCACAGGATCATAGGCCACCTCACCATTGGTATCTCGCCACCCACCTCTTTTAGCATCTCTGCTTCAAGCCGCCGGTGAATTGAGCTTTCTCCCAACAGACATTATCCCATTCACCTGGGCCACGTAATAGAAGAATGCGCCCCCCTACCTCCGGGGATATTCCAACCGCCAAAATCACAAATGCTCCGTGAGAGCATACCAGTACCAATGCCGTTCTCAGCTAGAGTACCGCAGCATTCGGGTAGGCATGTATGGTGGCCTCGGTAGCTTAAGAATACTTGGCCTAGAAAATATTGCTCAACTTGAAGCCCCAAATACTTCCAAAAAACCACCCTGGTGAGAATCGTCTCTCCATTAGATTATACAGTAGTTCATTCTCTACACATTTGGAGAGAGAAAACAAAATATCACTAGTTTTCATAGAATTATCAGGGGTTTAAGCTAGGTGAATTCTTGCTGGAGCGGGCAAATATCCCAAGCGTGTCAATTATTGTTAGTTTCCTTGGTGCCGCTCTTGATTGGCCTTTCCCTGGCAGCTGGCCTGTATTCAGGTCAATGCTCTTCTATCTGCCGGCGTCCCGTACCGTACAGGGCAGGGACGGAAAGGGTTAGGAAAGTGCCCCATCCGCCCACGGTATTCGCACGGGCTTCGAATAACTGTGATAAGACGTATTCTGCAATTTTTCTTTCTTCGTATTAAGACAATCTGTATTCAGGCCTAAATCTTTGATGAGGACAATACAAAAGAATACAAAAAAGTAAGTAAACCAATAGAACAGTACTGAGTACTGTGGAGGCAAAACCCTGGGGAAGGTTTTTTCTGTGCATACTCCCCTCTTTACTTCAAAATGCCCGGAATGATGTATCCTGTATCATACCTATTTGTTTTGTTAGGGCTTGGCGTGGCATTTGGGGTGTGGCGGTGTTTGTGAAGGGCCTGTTCTAACCCTTTCCTATAAGTTCTTACAAAACGAGAGAATCGAACAAGGAACACCAGGGGACGAACAACAAACGCGAAAGCCTTTTTGAACAATTTGTGTGAATCAGAAAGACTGCGGTACTTGCATCCTGCCCCCTTGTCTCTTCACCTTAAACTTACCACCATCTTCGCTCACGCTGCCCTCTGTAATTTACAAGTCTTTAAATCCCCAATTATTCACCCCCAAAGCGCCCGGGCCTTGAGAAGAGGCGGTGGGTTATCGATATGTGGATCCTAGATTCCAACCCTCCCGTACCCTAGGAGCCGCCGGGGAACCCACTCGGAAGGCTTAGTAATTCCCACACAGGATCCGCCACCGCAGAAGGCAATGCTGTCAACGTGAAGACGGCAAGAAGGTAATTTGGGCTTCCATGTAACGAGAGCATTTACCGGAGTTGAAAACCGGGTGTCAAAGTATATTTAAAGCCTGGTCGCTAAAGCAATGGGAGGGGGGATATGCATACCGGTAGTCACACTGACCATTGAGCATTGTGAGGCTCTGCACCACCGCGGCTCTGCTATGTGGTACAAGTATTACAGGTATTGCAACCAAGGTTATTATACTTAGCTAGCTATAAAGTATTCAGACGCTCGGCCCCTGGCCAGGTTCTCATAATGCCAAGGTGTCCGAATACTTTATTAATAGCCAAGTACCCCCTCTGATCTCCTTCTCTAATTTCGCAAACATACCGCACCCAGCATCGGTATGGGTGGCCCGGACACATTAATTCAACACCAGCATGGACGGACGAGTTCTATTACGCCCCATCGTATAAGTTTCTCGGTAAAAATGGCGGGGGCCAGGGCTAGTAAATTTATTTCCCAATAGTCTATAATACACCAACCAAGGGCAGAGATGCAATAAATTGTAGCTCTCTCAGGATTCTATATGTATGTGGTAGAGGTACGGTGACCCACAGGCTTTCTATCCCTCTTCTGACTAATGGCAGAACCGAAGCTTTCAAAAAGGTCACATTCCAATTCCCGGCCCCGAATATCCGGCAAGCACTCGCACCCTAATGATGGTATAAACGGAGCACGGCGTAGTGGCACCCTCAGACGGCCGGCCAAATTTCCTAACATGTGCTTTCCTCAAACAAACCAGCCAACTTAGCCCGAACATAACGAGTGGTAGGGTCAATCAACCAGATCTGGATAGGGCGAAAAATGCTCTTAGTGTTAAATACAATGAAATATTCATGTCCAAACCTGATATCAGTCACAGAGAAAAAGCTAAAATGGGTTTGCAATGAACTGCGGCCTGGACTAAATGTTTGCGCAGCAACCGCCGATTCGTAGAAGGGGTTGCCTGCTGGTGACTATTGGTCAACCATCAACTAATGCAGGTATACGTAAACGCTTACGCGCTGGGACACCAGTGAATTGAAGGCCTTTTTTAAAATTAATTTTCCAGTGTTTCTTCCCTTCAAGTTCTAGTCTCCCCTTTCAAACACTACTCTGGAAGATATAAAGGTTCTCTCTCGGCTCACGACTCTGTTTGCTGGGGGTCCTCACCTCTTAGCACTCACCTCATCCCATCTCCCAACTCCACTCTCTATGCATTGTGCCCATTCCACCCTTCACCTTTATTCCATGTCGTACCCACCAAAACCTACATATCGACCAGTGAAAGTCCTGTCACATTTTCAACAACTGTGCTAATAGCCGAGAGAAGGCAATATACGAGTGAGATTCTGTGATTCCTACTCAAACAAACACCCAAACTGACTCAACCCCTCGTCCTTACGCCCAATTGGTCGAATCCTTAGGTTATATCCGAGGGACACACGCGGCTGGGTGCTATGGGTATGATACTGTTGGACCACAGCTCCAACCTAGTCCAAAGCAGGTCAAAATGAGGTGAATGAATACTATATTGGGAGACTATCAGTAAGCGGTCCATGGTATTAGGTTTTAAACAATATCAGGGTTCGTACGGCAGAAACGACTTCCACTTGGGCCACACAACGAAAGACTTTTATTGATACGAGTAATAGCAATAAGGGAGAGGAATTTAAAGAACTGAAAAGACCAATAGTATCATGAACTGACAACGAATGACTTTTAACAGAAGTAGAACCAATCAGTAAAGACAAAGAGAGAAAGACAGTAATTTCAATGGATGATCGTATAACAAATGAGCAAAGAAAATAAACAGCTTTATATCCAATGATCCTTCTCCCAGACATGTTACCAGCACATGCACGATTTCTCTCTTCCTCCTATGCTATCT